TCTCTCGTTAGTCTGTTTTTGAAGTTTTGCTTATAATTTTGCCCAACTCTAACCATTTGGTTGAAATTTTAGGCAGGAATGTTCTGTGCTGAGTACGCCAGCTGACTTTTTTTTTTTTTTGTATTAATTTCAGCAAAAAAAAGTTCAACCATTTCTCAGATCAAAGTTAAGGAATAATATGTTTTGCCCTTGTTAAAGTTCTTACAACCATTTTGTTGAGAAGTTCTAGTGCCTCCATGCTGTGGAACAGGGACTTGAAATTTGACACTTAAACTAAACTGGTATTTCCTAAATTTGAGTGCCTGACTTTGCAATCTATTATCTTAATATAGTTTTTAGGTGTAATGTTTTTTAAAAACTAGTAATGAAATTTGTTGTAATTGAATCTCACTAAAAAGGTTTTTTTGAAGGTAATTCTTTACTAGCATTAAACTTTTAATTGGCATTAATAACTCTCTCTTATGGCCATATTTTTTATCATCAGTGAAAGTTGAAATCATTGTATAAAATTCATTTTGTTCATTTTCTTGTTCTCTTGACAGATCCTAATTTTGTTCGCACTTTCCTTACTACCTACCGCTCCTTTTGTAAGCCACAGGAATTGCTGAGCTTGTTGATTGAAAGGTAAACAACAAACATTTATTCTGAAGACACTGGGGTGTTCCAGTTTCGATTACTTGCTCCTTCTCTTCTGATGTTTGCAGTGCAATATGGCAGCATGTTTTGGTCTGATTTAACCTTCCCATATGTAGGAAAACTTTATACAAGTCATGAATTGTATTAAAACAATATTATTTTTTTAAAAGGAAGGGAGAGGAAGCAGAGGGAATGAAATTTTAACAAAGGCTTATTTTTTCCAAAATGTTAAATGTCATTGAAGTTAAATAGACGTTAACAGAAACAATATACAAATGACTGTAGGCCATGTGAATACTAGAAAAATACAAATAATTGAAAGCTATATTTATACTAGAAAAGTACACTGTTTAAAATCAACGTAGCTAAATTGGCACAAACCCCTAATGTGGACACCCTTAAAACAGTAACCAAGCGCAAGCCTGGGGGTGTCTCTACACTGCAGCTGGGGCCGCGGCTCTGCTAGCTGCCTGAGGATGTACCCAGGGGGGTTTGTACTCAGTTGGCTAGCCCAAGCTTTAACCGGTGCTCTGCTACTTTCAGTAGCAACTTTCTGAAGCTAAAAGTGACAAGCCCCGTTTTTTCTTGTGTATTAAAATTGTATTTAAATTGTAAATTACATTTCAGTGTTTTGTAGATGTCTTTGTTGTCTAAGCTTTAGACTAGGGGTCTCAAACATGTGGCTGGCCAATGGAGTTACTTCCTACGGCCCGCCATAGGCACTGACTCCACCGGCAGCCAAGTTCCCCTCCCCCCCCCGGAGCACGCCGCGTCCCTGCTCCTCTGCCTACCTTCCAGCGCTTCCCACCGCCAAACAGCTGTTTGACAGTGCTTAGGACTTTCCAGGAGAGAGGGGGTGGAGCGGGGACATGGCACGCTCAGGGGAGGAGGCAGAGAAGAGGTGGGGGCGGGGATTTGGGGAAGGGGTTGGAATAGGGGCAGGGAGGGGCAGAGTCGGGGTGGGGATTTTGGGGAAGGGGTTGGAATGGGGGCGGGGAAGGGGTGGGAAGAGGTGGGGCAGAGGCAGGGCCTCATGGGCTAGATGAGCAGTCTGAGGTATGAAGTTCAGCATGTATGATTCTTTGCTGTGAGTAGTTGTAACGATGCGGTTCTGGTGGGACCTAACTGAGAGTGCCAATTCAGGACAAATTGCTTAAACAGTGCAGTTACAGCCCAAGGCTGGGGTTTTTCCACCTCTAAGGCAAACCAAACCAGCCAGACTAAGAGACTTTGGTCTCACCCCACTGGCTAACCACAAGTCACACAAGCAATTCCCTTAGACACTCCAGTTTCCCAGTATCACCACCAGTGCCACTCGTTATGGGGACAAAAGGTTATGAAAACCAATACTCCAATAAAAGAAAAAAGGTTCTTCTGATCCCAAAGGATCAAGCCCCAGACCCAGGTCAATATACAAATCAGATCTTACCCACAAATCATGCTGATGCCAATCCTTTAGAATCTAAAATCTAAAGGTTTATTTATAAAAGAAAAAAGGTAGAGATGAGAGCTAGAATTGGTTAAATGGAATCAATTAGGCTTGTAGCAGTGATGAAATTAACTGCAGGTTCAAATCAAGTCTCTGGAGTACATCCCCAGCTGGGATGGGTCCTCTGTCCTTTGTTCAAAGCTTCAGTTTGTAGCAAAGTCCCTCCAGAGGTAAGAAGCAGGATTAAAGACAAGATGGAGGAGAGGCATCAGCCTTTTATAGTCTTTTCCAGGTGTAAGAACACCTCTTTGTCCTTACTGTGGAAAATTACAGCAAAATGGAATCTGGAGTCACATGGGCCAGTCCCTGCATACTTTGCTGAGTTGTAAGGCGTGTTTGCCTTCTCTCAATGGGTCAGTTGTATAGCTGATGGTCCTTAATGGGCCATCAAGCAGGCTAGGCAGAGCTAATACCAACTTGTCTGGGAAGTTTCCCAGAAGCATAGCATAAGTTTGAAATACAGACAGTATAGAGACAGTATTCATAACTTGAACTACAAAATTGATACACACATATAGACAGCATAATCATAACCAGCAAACCATAACCTTGTCTTAGACACCTCATTTGACCCCCTTTATACAAGATTTGGTGCCACTACAGGACTTTGGTTGCAACCATGTTCTATATGCTCCCAGTTCAAATCAATAACGTGACAGTAGTTGGGAAGAATGTTTGTTAAAAGTGGCAACATATTTAGTATGAATAGCTACTTTAAAAATTTCCTGCCATTACAGCTGTGTTGATAGACGGTTTGTTAGTATAGATCATCATCAGTGTTACTGACCACATGAGGAATAGTTACAGGTGTTTATATTTTAGTAAAACCCCTCTTCGCATTACAGTTTAAAAAAGTTAATACATTGACTTTTAATAACACACTAGATTACTCTTCATTTTTGATTATACTTTTGTATCGTTGTATGAAAAGGTTTCAGTGATGCGGCCCTCGGGCCAATGTACTAGTCCTCATGTGGCCCTCGTGGTGATTTGAGTTTGAGATCCCTGCTTTAGACCCTGATCCTGTAGATACTTAAAGCACATTATTAAAATTAGGCATGTGCAGGGCTGGATTAAGACCATCCAGGATCCTAGGCACACCATGACGTGCGGCCACCATGGCGTCACCTCAACAACTCACCCATCTTGCCGTGCCAGAGGCAGGAGGCATTGTTCTTCTGCCAAAGAGAGGCACTGGTCCTGTCCTGCCATCCCCTTCTTTCCCTTATAAGCAACAGCAGAATTCCCTTTCTTTCATGGAGAGGCCGGGATGGTAATGGGGGCAGCCCAGTACTTAATCCAGTGGTCTGGACCTGCTGCATTTTTTTCCATCTGCCATACATAGTCCTCTGCTAGAGTGGTGAGAGTGGATCTTGGCATTAACATCTGTGTAGAAAGCTATTGTTTCAGATTGTTTGCAGACATCACTGCATAGATTACACTTGGGTCACCTTTTCAAGCTTCTCTTTGCTTGCAGCCATGTAGACTAAAAACTTGCATGATTTTTAAAGAAACGAAAGCAGATATATACTGCCCTCTGTTGTGTGACTCTGAGAAATGGGGCCCTGGGCACAGGTCTGTGCCTCAATCTAGCCCTGAGCATGTGCCTGAGTGCTTGCACAACTGATTGAAATCCTTAGATTTGCCCAAACCACAGGTTCAAATCCTGGCAGAGTTGACTGAGCCCTTCAACTTTACAACGAGAGTAAAATAAGTTCAAAATGCAGATTACCGTGTGTGGGTTTCTGGGGACTTAAAAAAAAAAAAAAGTTACTATATATTCTGCCTGGACATTAAGGAACCTGTGTTAGTTTTCGTAGGAGGGAATATCTGACCCAACCTCCTTGGCACAACAGTTCTTCCACCCTCATTGTGTGCTGTGCTCTGGTTGCTTACCTCTGTCCCAGTGGTGAAGCTGTGTCTGTGAAGCTTTATTGGGATCCTTTGAAATGAAAGATGATACATCAGTTTCACTGATATTAATATAACTGCACTGTCTTTTTGGTCTGTGTTTGTACAACACATAGCACAATAGGTCCTGGTCCATGACTGAGGGCTCCTAGGTGCTGAGGGAATACAAATACACCTCTACCCTGATATAACGCGACCCGATATAACATGAATTCAGCTATAATGCAGTAAAGCAGCGCTCCGGGGCGGGGCTGCGCACTCTGGCAGATCAAAGCAAGTTCGATATAACGCGGTTTCACCTATAACGCAGTAAGATTTTTTTGCAAAAAGAACAGGAGTACTTGTGGCACCTTAGAGACTAACAAATTTTTGGCTTTTAAGATTTTTTTGGCTCCCGAGGACAGCGTTATATCGGGGTAGAGGTGTAATTAATAATAGTACTGGCAGCACAGTGGTTATGCTTGAAACAGCACTGCCATTATAAACACTTATTTTCAGCCACAATTTTAAACTGAAACTTCATGCCTGTTTGTGCTGAGATGACATTTTTGAAAAAGTTTGATCCATTTGGCTATTTTTGAAGTATGTTGCCTATCTTCTGGGGCACAAGAATTAAAAATAAAGATGGTAAAAAACAAGGCATGTGCTTGTATCCTCCTCCTCCCTTTTGTCTTTTTGCCTTTCTAATATAAGCTTTTTTGGATCCTGGGCCAATGTGTTTGTAGTACGATAATGGTCCCATCCTGACCAAGGCTTCTGGGCATTACCCTGCTACCAAACAACGATGATAAAAATTTAGTTATGAACTGTATAGCCCCATAAACATACACAGTGCTTTTAAAGCTATATAGAGGATATGATCCCTACCAAAATGAGCTTGCAGTCTAACACAAGGTATAGAACTTCTCAGGTAACACAGAGTGCAGAGAAATCAATAGGGTGACTACACACCTCTACCCCGATATAACGCTGTCCTCAGGAGCCAAAAAATCTTACTGCGTTATAGGTGAAACCGCGTTATATCGAACTTGCTTTGAACCACCAGAGTGTGCAGCCCCACCCCCCCGGAGTGCTGCTTTATCACGTTATATCCGAATTCGCGTAATATCGGGGTAGAGGTGTAATTTAGGAGGGATTCATGGATGAAATGGGTTTATTTGGTTGGCAAGAAATGACCAGTTAAAATGAATGATACAGCTTGACAAGACCAAAAGGGAATAGTGGAGAGAGGGAGATTAATTGAGATGTAGACGTGGGTTGTATTTTGTAGGACCTTGAAAATAAAGATCTTTAATTTGATGGCTAGTGTCAGGACACAAATGAAGGCTAATGAAATTATAAGCTTTGAAAAGAGCATTACTGCATTCCTTAACTTTTCATCAATGCACCAAAGGTGTAGATTTTCAGATAGTCTTGAAGTAAATCAAACCTGGAATTAGAGCAGCATATACCCACTCGTGCGTTGCTCAGGAGTTTTCACTGTACTTAAGTAAAAACATAATTAAAATGGTTTAATTGGTTTTATATAAAAAGGTTTCATCAATAATCAGTTTTGTGCTTTTGTTCATAGGTTTGAAATCCCAGAGCCTGAGCCTACTGAAGCAGATAGGTTGGCAATAGAGAAAGGAGAGCAGCCAATCAGCGCAGACCTGAAAAGATTTCGCAAGGAATATGTCCAGCCAGTACAACTCAGGTTTGGGTGCCTTTATATTTCCTGCATCAGATCCAAATTTTAGTTCAGTTTGTGTATCCTGTTTTTGAAGACTGGTATCGAGTGTTAAGTTGTTAGTGTGGCCAGGCTATGGACAATGATAATCCAAAGACATGTTATGATTAGTCATTTAGGATTCTGTTGGTTGTTACAATCATATGTCTGTTCCATGCTGCTCACAACTGAAAACTGAACACACTACAAAAAAGCCTGTTGCTCATTGTGTTAAAATGGTGCAGGTGAGGTATGTACAATTAAAATTACTCCTCTTATATTGAGTGACTGTTTGTATAGGTTATAGCCACAAAGGTAGCCTAAGCTAGTAACCCTCTTTCCTTTTACTCTTCAGTTCCATTGCTTTTTTCAGTCCCTGTTCCAGCCCCGTTGATGTATTTGTACACAGGTAGCTTCTCATAGCTGTGCAGTTTTCTCTGCAGCACTATTGATCACCATAACTGGCCTAAGAATTGGCTTCCCTCTGAAGTCTGATCTGTAGGAATGTTTACGATAGTACTTCAGAGAGAAATTGCTGTTTTTTCCATTAGTACTTCCAGTCACTCAAGTGCTGTGGAGTCAGCCAGGCTATTTAACAATAATAAATTGAATTGGGAGCTACTTTAAGGCTCTTAATTCAGCTTTTTAAGGTTAACACTTTAAAGAACTAAAGCCGCATTTAAGATTATCCTGTTGGTGAATGCCTTGTTTTCATCTTGCCCTCTGGAGGTAAGCAGCTTACCAATGTACACCCTGATTAGGCATAGTGCTTTTAGAGTGTGGATCCCTAACTTTGTTTGCTATTAAAATAACCTTTTTACATTTGTTTTTCAAGAGTTCATCCAATGTATTTTTCTACTTTGATAAATCATTTGTAATAGAAAATGAAATAGAGTGGGAAATTTATAAACAGTTTCTTGCTACTAACATCTATAAAATAATTTTTGTGACGTATTTCCTTCTTTTATGGCTTGATGAACTGTTTGGAGACTATGTCTCTCGTCCTTCTTTATGAGCCCAGATTTCTATCTGTTCAGTAGATCTGGCTGAAATCCAGTTTTTATTGAAAGGTTTTCTGGGGCTCTATCTTTCAGCAGTACTTAGTTGCCTGACTGGCTACTTTTGGCCGCTTCTTATACAAGCTACATTGGGGATATGAAATACTCTTAAACTAGTGGTTTTAACAGAAAGTGATCCAAGGGCCCTAAACTGCATTTAGGCTTTGTGGGGAGGGGCAGTTTAAAACTTTAACTTTAAACTGCCATTTACTGCACACACTCTTGTGGCTTATTGTTAAAATTTTGTTCTTGGGAGAAATTAGAATTGTCTGTGGGTTCTAATAGCTTGAAACTGAATTATCTACTGGGATTCAAAAGAGAAACAAGGTGGATGAGGTAATATATTTTATGGAACAACTTCTTTTGGTGAAAGAGAGAAGCTTTCAAGTTTACACAGAGTTCTTCTTCACATCTGGGACCAGTATGGCTACAACAACATTGCCTAAGCTATAGTAAATCTGTCCTTTATCAAAGAGGTTAACAAACTGATTGCTCTACTCAGCAGTTAATGTATTTTTTTTTTTTCCCATCTGTAGTTAGCAGAATAATTTAAAACAAAAATTATGTTGAACTCTCCTAAGTCATCAGTGTCTTTGTCACCTTCAGGTTCAACTATTTCTCTGTTCTGCTTGGGACTTTACTTGAAGTGGTAGCTTCAGCTAGCACGGAATGCATGGCTCTCCTATTTATTGGACTGGGCCAGCATGAGCAGATCACATCTCACACACATAGCATGGATGTAATCTGCTTTGGGTGCAGTTCAGGGTTTTAGTTCTAATGCATCCATCCCTTTATGGTGCTGAATCTGGCTGTTTTAGGGAGTGCGTATTTTCTATATGCAAACTGATAACGGCTGGAATCAGCTGAGATGTTTTTGTTGACAAAGTCTACATGAAACTCTTAAATGGAGGTAAGTTGATTTTGCTGGAGGGTACCCATCTATGGAACCTGCTTTTTCTGGTCCCTTAGCAGCGCTTGAGTTTATTGACTTTCAGAGCATGGTGCAAAGTACACCTCTACCCCGATATAACGCTGTCCTCGGGAGCACAAAAATCTTACCGCGTTATAGGTGAAACCGCATTATATTGAACTTGCTTTGATCCACCAGAGTGTGCAGCCCCGCCCCCCCGGAGTGCTGCTTTACCGCATTATATCCGAATTTGTGTTATATCGGGTTGCGTTATATCGGGGTAGAGGTTTATAGCTTTAATCTGGGCCTCTACAAGTTATGGTTTTATAGGGTGGTATGGAGAGAGATTTGTTTGTGTGAGTTGATATGGACAGTTTTAATTTGTCATGCATCTAGATAACAAGGCAGTAGGCCCAAATGAATCTAATAAAGTTTGAGGCATCAGCTCACGGGGGTTTTTTGCCTGGAGGAGAGGAGAGAAAAGCAAAGTTTCTCATCTTAAGAGTTCAAAGGACAAGTGTAATCGTACTTTGGTTCTAAAGGTTAATTTGACGCTTAATGTTTAAGAAAGTAGAGAGAAGGCAGGTGAAAACTTGTATTTCCTGATCTTAAGAGAAAAAAGTGGATCTTGTACTGTTCCTTTCCTTTCATGTGAATAAAAGGGTATAAAAAAGTCTAAGATTATTATTATTATTATTATTACAACACTGACTTTTGATATATCAGCTTTTAAAATGAAAAATGTAAATAGGAAAGAGAAACAATTAGAAAACCTCTGCCTTTTTATAAATGGTAAATGTTAACTAACTTTTTCACTTGAGAAATGTGCTAATGATAGAAGAATGTTGGATTTTACTTTATTCTTTTGTTATGCAGGACTACTAACTGTAGTCTGTAACCTATCCTTTAAATCAGTTTCTGTACCAAATGACTGGAGGATAGCTAATGTGATGCCAATTTTTAAAAAGGGCTCCAGAAGTGACTCCAGCAATTACAGGCCGGTAAGCCTGACTTCAGTACCGGGCAAACTGGTTAGAACAAAATTGTCAGACACATAGATGAACATAATTTGTTGGGGAATAGTCAACATGGTTTTTGTAAAGGGAAATCATGCCTCCCCAACCTACTAGAATTCTTTGAGGGGGTTAGCAAGCACCTGGACAAGGGGGATCCAGTGAATATAATGTATTTAGATTTTCAGAAAGCCTTTGACAAGGTCCCTCACCATAGGCTATTAAGCAAAGTAAGCAGTCATGGGATAAGAGGGAAGGTCCTTTCATGGATTGGTAACTGGTTAAAAGATAGGGAACAAAGGGTAGGACTCAATGGTCAGTTTTCAGAATTGAGAGAGGTAAATAGTGGTGTCCCCCAGGGGTCTGTACTGGGCCCAGTCCTGTTCAACATATTCACCAATGATCTGGAAAAAGGGGTAAGGAGTGAGGTGGCAAAATTTGCAGATGATACAAAACTACTGAAGATAGTTAAGTCCCAGGCAGACTGTGAAGAGCTACAAAAGGATCTCTCAAAACTGGGTGACTGGGCAACAAAATGGCAGATGAAATTCAGTGTTGATAAATGCAAAGTAAATGCACTTTGGAAAACATTAATCCCAACTATACATATAAATGATGGGGTCTAAATGAGCTGTTACCACTCAAGAAAGAGATCTTGGAGTCATTGTGGATAGTTCTCTGAAAACATCCACTCAATCTGCAGCGGCAGTCAAAAAAGGGAACAGAATGTTGGGCATCATTAAGAAAGGGATAGATAAGAAGACAGAAAATATCATATTGCCTCTCAATAAATCCATGGTATGCCCACATCTTGAATACTGCCTGCAGATGTGGTCGCCCCATCTCAAAAAAGATATATTGGAATTGGAAAAGGGCAACAAAAATTATTAGGGGTATGGAGCATATGCCGTATGAGGAGAGATTAATAAGACTGGGACTTTTCAGCTTGGAAAAAAGACACCAAAGGGAGGATATGATAGAAGTCTATAAAATCATGACTGGTTAGGAGAAAGTAAATAAGGAAGTGTTATTTACTCCTTCTCATAACACAAGAACTAGGGGGTCACCAAATGAAATTAATAGGCAGCAGGTTTAAAACAAACAAAGGGAAGTATTTTTTCATACAACATACAGTCAACCTGTGGAACTCCTTGCCAGAGGATGTTGTGAAGGCCAAGACTATAACAGGGTTCAAAAAAGAACTAGATAAATTCATGGAGGATAGGTCCATCAATAGCTATTAGCAAGGATGGTGTCCCTAGCCTCTGTTTGCCAGAAGCTGGGAATGGGCATCAGGGGATGGATCACTTGATGATTAGCTGTTCTGTTCATTCCCTCTGGGGCACCTGGCACTGGTCACTGTCAGAAGACAGGATACTGGGATAGATGGACCTTTGGTCTGACGCAGTATGGCCGTTCTTATGTCCTTCTATGTTCTTATGGTTTACTCTTTTGGGTACAATCTTCCATTAATCCCTCCTCTTTAATAATAAAAAAAAAAAAAAAAAAAAAAAACACTGACTGTTAAGACTCAAAAGTTATTTTCTCAAAATTCCAGGATTACCAAAGTTAAGTTTCCACACTCAGTTGTGACTCCAACCTATTGTGCATATGCATTGTGATGGTCCTTAATTACATGATTGCATACTGTAACTTCTGCAGAACCCATGCTTCATCAATGTGCAGGTTGACTGGACTTGAGGGTTCATAAAAATTAAAAGGATTATTTTTTTTCCTTCCTCTCCTCCCCCCCTTATTTTTCAGGATATTAAATGTTTTTCGACACTGGGTAGAACATCATTTTTACGATTTTGAAAGAGATCTGGAGTTGCTCGATAAACTGGAGACATTTATTTCAAGTGTAAGAGGTACGGTAACTGTTACAATCCATTTGTTCTTTTTACTTTCTAATTCATTCTGGGGGTCTATTCCTGCTAGCTCTTACAAACATGAGTCACTTTACTCACAGGAGCAGTTCTTTTTACTCATGTAAGTACTCCAGTTGAAGTCAAATCTCACGTGCATAGACATTGCAAGATTAAGTCCGAAACCTAAATAATACCAGACATTACTATGTTGTTTTATCAAAGCTTATTTAGCAGTAAATATTTAAGATTGTCATTGTCTGAAACCAGTATGGTCTCTCTAGAATTCAAAACACTTTAGGCTTGGAAGGATTAGGTTTTTTTTTATCGGCAAATATCAATTTCCTCGGACACACAAACCAACAAAAAAATATTTCCATTGATGATAATCAAAATTTACAGATCGGCAAGAAAAATGTTGCTTGAGATTATATTAGAGTTTGATTTAAGTATATTTACTTTATATATTTTGACATGATAGCGACAATTTGTGATGTAATGGTTATAAAACAAACTCTTTGAATCTGTGTCTACTGTGATCAGATGTCTGACTCCCCCATAATTTCCTGAAACTGTAAACATTTGAATTGATAAAAATCGGAAAAAATACTTAACACCCATAATTTTGCACAGCGGTGATAATTTAAATAAAAAAATGTTAAAAAATAAACCAGTATAATCTAAATATTTTTAATTGAATTCTGCCTCTTTCCAACTTTAAGTTCCTAGAGAAAATTTTTCCTCAGTGAGAAGAAAAAATGTTTTCCCTACTGGAACACTGATCCTTTTCCATTTTACTATCCTTGTCCTGAAGACCCTGCACAACAACCATTACTCTTCCAGAAGAGGAGAGGTGAACAATAAAAACCTTTTAGCTTCAATTAGTGTTACTTCCTTAGGTCTTGTAGTTAAGGCTGCAAGTCTGTCACTAAGGTCACAGATGCCGTGACTTTCTGGGAACTCCATGACTTCTGCAGCAGCCGATGCGACTGGGCCAGGAGCCGCCTGAGCAGCTCAGGCAGCCTCTGGGCCAGCCGCACCGGCCACTGCTGGGGCAGTCCACTGTGCCCCCCCGCAGCAGCAGGAGTTTGGGTGTGGGAGGGGCCTCAGGGCTGGGGAAGAGGGTTGGGGCATGGGAGGGGGTGAGGGCTCCAGCCGGTGCTAACCTTGGGGGAGCTCCCCGGAAGCAGCGACATGTCCCTCCCTCGACTCTTAGGCGGAAGTGTGGCCAGGCGGCTCTGTGCACTGCCTCCGCTCACAAGCGTTGTCCCCAGAGCTACCATTGGCCGTGGTTCCCGGCCAATGGGAGCTGCAGAGCCACAGCTCGAGGCGGAGGCAGCACATGGAGTCCCCAGGCTGTGCCTGTGCCTAGAAGCTGAGGGACATGTCGCTGCACAGGGCGGGGGAGGGCGCCTGCCCCCCCCACCCCCCCCCCCCCCCCCCCAGCAGCAGTAGGGGTCCCAGGCTGCGTGCCACCACCTCCCCCCTCCCCAGAGCACCCGTGGCACCCCTGGGCCGCCCTCCCACCCCCCAGAACACCCAAGATTTAGGGGTATATAGTACAAGTCATGGACAGGTCACGAGCCGTGAATTTTTCTTTACTGCCTATGACCTGTCCATGACTTTTACTAAAAATACCCGTGACTAAAATATAACCTTACTTATAGTTGAACAGTGTGATAACATTCCCTAATGCAGTGGCTGTCAACCTTTCCAGACTACTGTGCCCCTTTCAGGAGTCTGATTTGTCTTGTGTACCCCCAAGTTTCACTTCATTTAAAAAGAACAGGAGTATTTGTGGCACCTTAGAGACTAACAAATTTATTTGAGCATAAGCTTTCGTGGGCTACAGCCCACTTCATCGGATGCATAGACTGGAACATATAATAAGAGTGTGTATATATATATACATACAGAGAAGATGCCATACCAGCTCTAAGACGCTAATTAATTAAGATGACCTATTATCAGCAGGAAAAAAACATTTGTAGTGATAAGATGGTCAATTACAGACAGTTGACAAGAGGTGTAAGGATAGTTATCATAAGGAAATAGATTCAAGTAGTGTAATGACTCAGCCATTCCCAGTCTCTATTCAAGCCAGAGTTAATGGTATCTAATTTGCAAATCAATTCAAGCTCAGCAGTTTCTCATTGGAGTCTGTTTTTGAAGTCTTTCTGTTGCAAAATTGCCACCCTCAGGTCTGTTACTGAGTGGCCAGAGAGGTTGAAGTGTTCTCCTACTCGTTTTTGAGTGTTATGATTCCTAATGTCAGATTTGTGTCCATTTATTCTTTTGCTTAGAGACTGTCCGGTTTGGCCAATGTACATGGCAGAGGGGCATTGCTGGCACATGATGGCATATATCACATTGGTAGATGTGCAGGTGAACGAGCCCCTGATGGCGTGGCTGATGTGATTAGGTCCAGTGATGGTGTCACTTGAATAGATATCTATCCACATATCTTGAATCTATTTCCTTATGATAACTATCATGCCCTGCCCTGAGAGTCTGTCTACACTTAAAACGTTGCAGTGACACCTCTGTAACAGTTCAGTGAAGATGCTGCCTACACCGACAGGAGGGATTCTCCCATTGGCATAGGCAATCTACCTCTCCAAGAGGCGGTAGCTAGGTTGATGGGAGAATTCTCCCATCAACCTAGTGCTGACTACATTAGGAAATTAGGCCGGTTTAACTGCGTTGCTCAGGAATCTGGATTTTTCACACTCTGGTTATACCGACCTAATTTCCTAGTGTAGACCAGACCTGAGTACCTCTCCCAGACCTGAAGAAGAGCTCTGTGAGGCTCAAATGCTTGTCTCTGTCACCAGCAGAAGTTGACCCGATAAAAGATTTTACCTCACCCACCATGTCTTTCTAATGAACTAATACAATATATTGTAAAGTCATCATATAACTAAAAACTGTAAACTTGAACAAATAGGGCCAGACTATCAAAGTTAACTACAAAACAGGTGCACCCAAAAATGTGCACTCTTTGTGCCTGTATTTGCATATGGAAATGGGTAACTGCATACCTAACTTCTTTGCGCATGCAATTTCCTGATTTGCATACACAAATGTAACCTTTGGTGGGTGCACAAATTGTTTGTTAAAGAAAATAATTTGGCCCATGAACTTGAATTTTTCTATCCCATTCTATAAAACGTATACAAATTTGTTAATCTTTTCCTTAAGTACTGAATGCTAACCTTATTTCATATCACTCTACTAGTTAACAAGCAGAAGTGTACATCTAACAAAAGGATCATTTGAAAAAGCTGTTAAATCATTAGTATGAACGTTTTTAATGTTTTTTTACAGGCAAATCCATGAAGAAGTGGGTAGAATCCATTGCTAAGATTATCAAGAGAAAAAAACAAGCTCAAGCAAATGGAATTAGTCATAACATTACCTTTGAGAGCCAACCTCCCCCAATTGAATGGCATATTTGCCACCTTGGACAGTTTGAGATGGACCTGATGACACTACATCCAATAGAAATTGCTCGTCAGCTAACACTTCTAGAATCTGATCTCTACAGGTAGTTATTCAAAAAATGTGTGTGTTCCTTAGGTAAATTTTTGTTGGCTCCATAAGTCACACTATTTGCACTAGTCAGAAGCATGAATTTCCTTTTCTGACCGGAGAAAACTAGCAGGATTAATATGGAAATCTAAAAGTATGTTGCTTTTATTTGTAAAAATAAAAAAGGGCTGGTTGCTATATGTAATCCCACTTTACAGGTTTGTAATGGGAAATTATAGTGTTCTCTGCAATCACTTTTAATACCTACCCTATATTTGGCTTTCATTTGTAATAGAAATATTGAGTTAATCAAATTGCATTCAGCTTTAGCAAGAAAAAAATCTTTAATTTGTAGAATCAGCCTGAAGTATATTCTTCTCTTTTATGATTTGCCAAGTAAGGTTTGCTCACCTTCTGTCCTATACCAAAGTGTTTATCCATCAACATATTAGACTTGTGTCAACATAACCAAACTTGTATAGTAAATAATTAGGACACTAAAATGCTGCAGTGAGTAGACAACACTCAAACATAACTGGGACATATGTGAATTCTCAAAATAAAAGTTTGGGGGGATCTTATAAAAAATGCTTGTAGCATCCTAAAAAGAACTTTATTCTCTAGGGGCCCTCATAAAAACTAAGGTATTTAAACTGGGATTTTTGAAAGGTTTGCATGCTACAATGGCAGAAGGATTTCTAATAAAATATTTCTTTTTGCACATGAGGCTTTTACAGGGTTTGTCGATCCCCATTCCAGCAACACATTACTCGTGTTTACCCATTAGACAACGAGAAGTTTTCTTTGTTCAGGATACTTATTTCTTCCTTCAGAAGACAAAACTGAGTCCTTAGTAATTTTCTAATCTGAAAATACACCACTGATGTTCTTTTAACAGAGACTGGCATTTTCCAGAGTCCATTAGTGCCCGTGTTGAAATACCAGTCCAATGATTATTTTGAATGACTGTTCCATGATGGATTTTATTGAATAATCTGTACCAAATGTCATGTCACAAGTAAGGGGAAGAAATAAGTCTTCTACCGCAAACATGGAACATATGAATATTAAGTATTAAACACTCCCTTGCCTCATACTTAACATTTTCTTTCAATAGGGCAGTGCAGCCATCTGAACTTGTTGGGAGTGTGTGGACTAAAGAAGATAAGGAAATTAACTCCCCAAATCTATTGAAAATGATTCGGCACACTACAAATCTTACTCTTTGGTTTGAAAAGTAAGTACAGGGGATGTTAATGTACTGACATGGAATCAAGTTAAAGTTCAGGGATCGCTCAGTTTTTCTTACAGTTTAAAGGAGATTCCTTTATTTTGAATTATAAAATAGTTGTTGTGTATTTCAGTAATCACTATCTTAGTTAAAAGCATTCATTTTGTGCTTGGCACAGTCCAGGACATAACCAAAAATCTGCAAGGCAACCTACTCCTTTTAAGTTTTAAACTGCTTATTTCAGTGAAAACACTGAGAAGCTTAGGGTAGTGGTCTTCATTTTGAACTCCTGTTCTCTATGGTGGCTAAACACTAGATTTCAGTGCCTAGCAAAGCAAATTTCCTAATTCCAACATTTCCTAATACCATGTTTCTTGACTAGGTGCATTGTGGAAACAGAGAATTTTGAGGAGCGAGTGGCTGTGTTAAGTAGGATAATCGAAATTCTGCAGGTTTTTCAAGAGTTGAATAATTTCAATGGTGTGTTGGAAATAGTCAGTGCGATGAATTCTGTGTCAGTGTACAGACTAGATCATACATTTGAGGTAAGTCTTCTGAGTGACTTGTGCATCCTTCTTAAGAGACTATCAAGAAAAACAAATCATATACCATTTTTTGAATAAACACTGTTTCTTTACAGTTACTTTCTTTATAAGTGTAATGTGAAACACTCGTGAGGAATATTATCAAAAGTAGCATATTAAGCGTCCTAGGTGCCACAGGGGATTTGTAATGGCATCTGGAGTCTTTCACCTGTAGCTTGACAGCTCAAATCCAGCATGGCAGTGATTGAATGTCATGACTAAGGCTAAGGCCTTGGCTACACTTGCAAGTTACAGCGCTGGGGCAGGCTTTACAGTGCTGTAACTCACTCCCCGTCCATACTGGCAGGGTACTTACAGCGCTGTATCTCCCTGGGTACAACGCTGCAGGTACTCCACCTCCCCGAGAGGAATAACAGCTGCAGCGGAGTGGCTATGGCTCACGGGTGTGAGTGTAAACGCTCGCAGCGCTGTACTAATCACCTTGTCAAGTGGCCAATCCCAGGGCCAGCTTTAACTTTTTTTGCCGCCCAAGCAAAAAAAAAGAGTGCCGCCCTCCATAGCGCTGCCATAACACACACACCCTCAGCACCGCACCGCCAAACTCCCCCGCCGAACCCCCCCAGCCCCCCCACGGAGCGCAGCGCTGCCGAGCCCCCCAGCCCCCCGTGGAGCGCCATGCAGCTGAACACCCTGACCCCCCGTGGAGCGCTGCC